TATAATATATATATATATATATATATATATATATATATAGTGTATTTTTATGTATATATAGTGTGTATACATGGTATAGCATGGGCATACGTTGTTGGCACTGTGTGGAGGGTATTTATAGTTGACGTGAGAAGCAAGTTATGTGTTAGAATTGTCACTTGACACACTTGCTGGCACTTTCAAGTGTCAGGGAACACTTGTGTAACTCCTGCTGGTGTAAGTGGTAGCTTAAAGTGTCAAGGAACACTTGGTATAACTCCAGCTGGTGTAAGTGGTAGTTTAAAGTGCCAAGGAACACTTGGTATAACTCCAGCTGGTGTAAGTGGTAGCTTAAAGTGTCAAGGAACACTTGGTATAACCCCAGCTGGTGTAAGTGGTAGTTTAACGTGTCAAGGAACACTTGGTATAACTCCATCTGGTGTAAGTGGTAGTTTGAAGTGTCAAGGAACACTTGGTATTACTCCAGCTGGTATAAGTGGCACTTTAAAGTGTCAGGGAACTCTTGCTTCAATAAGTGGTAATCTGGGACACTTAAGTGCCAGGAAGCACTTAATATTGTCATCCAGACAAAAAAATAGGAACGAAGTTAAGTACTCCCCGAGGGATATAAGATAATGCGACAGTAGAAATTACGTATACCATCATTCAGTCAATATCTTCCTTGCTACAGTACAGAGGATACCACAGTTCAAGACGCCTGTCAACTAACATAGTGTAGGAGGTACCAGATAGTGAAGGAGGTACCAGATAGTGAAGGAGGTACCAGATAGTGAAGTATTTGTTTGTGGGGTTTAAAGTCTATCTTCTGCACCATGGTCACTCATACACTGAGATATACACCTCTCAGTGTATATACACTGAGATATACACCTCTCAGTGTATATACACTGAGATATACACCTCTCAGTGTATATACACTGAGATATACACCTCTCAGTGTATATACACTGAGATATACACCTCTCAGTGTATATACACTGAGATATACACCTCTCAGTGTATATACACCTCCCAGTGTATATACACTGAGATATACACCTCCCAGTGTATATACACTGAGATATACACCTCTCAGTGTATATACACTGAGATATACACCTCTCAGTGTATATACACTGAGATATACACCTCAGTGTATATACACTGAGATATACACCTCTCAGTGTATATACACCATATAGTAATAACTTACACCTAGGCAATCTACACCTAGGTAACTTACACCTAGGCAATCTACCCCTAGGTTACTAACACCTAGGGAACCTGCACCTGGGTTACTAACACCTACCCCTCATTTGTTCTCAGCCGACGGCTTCACCTACACCTTTGGAATCTACTTTGTACAGCTGGTGCTGTACTACGACGCCTCAGCTGCTGCCACCTCCTGGATAGCATCTATCCTTGTAGGTGTTACTCTAGGTTCAGGTGAGTCCCAATCCTTCACAACCTTGTTAGGTGAGTCTGACTACTTGAGGACCTTGTTAGGTGAGTCTGACTGCTTGAGGACCTTGTTAGGTGAGTCTGACTGCTTGAGGACCTTGTTAGGTGAGTCTGACTGCTTGAGGACCTTGTTAGGTGAGTCTGACTGCTTGAGGACCTTGTTAAGTGAGTCTGACTGCTTGAGGACCTTGTTAGGTGAGTCTGAGTGCATGAGGACCTTGTTAGGTGAGTCTGACTGCTTGAGGACCTTGTTAGGTGAGTCTGACTGCTTGAGGACCTTGTTAGGTGAGTCTGACTGCTTGAGGACCTTGTTAGGTGAGTCTGACTGCTTGAGGACCTTGTTAGGTGAGTCTGACTGCTTGAGGACCTTGTTAGGTGAGTCCTGCCCTGCTTGAGGACCTTGTTAGGTGAGTCTGACTGCTTGAGGACCTTGTTAGGTGAGTCTGAGTGCATGAGGGCCTTGTTAGGTGAGTCTGACTGCTTGAAGCCCTTCTTAGGTGAATGTGAGTACTTAAGAACCTTGTTAGGTGAATCTGAGTGCTTAAGAACCTTGTTAGGTGAGTCTGAATGCTTGAGAACCTTCTTAGGTGAGTGTGAGTGCTTGAGGGACCTTCTTAGGTTGAGTGTGAAGGTTGTTAGGTGTGTGTGTGTGTGTACTCACCTAGTTGTACTCACCTAGTTGAGGTTGCGGGGGTCGAGTCCGAGCTCCTGGCCCCGCCTCTTCACTGATCGCTACTAGGTCACTCTCCCTGAGCCGTGAGCTTTATCATACCTCTGCTTAAGTGTGTGTGTGTGTGTGTGTGTGTGTGTGTGTGTGTGTGTGTGTGTGTGTGTGTGTGAGGAAGAGAGAGTGACAATGTGAGAGAGTGACAGTGTGAGTGTGTGAGGAAGAGACAGTGACAGTGTGAGAGTGACAATGTGTGAGTGTGTGTGTGTGTGGTGTGTGTGTGTGTGTGTGTGTGTGTGTGTGTGTGTGTTTTGTGTGTGTGAGAGAGAGGGGAGAGAGAGAGAGAGGAGAGAGAGAGAGAGAGAAAAGAGAGAGAGAGAGAGAGAGAGAGAGAGAGTGTATAGTCATCATGAGAGGTAAGAGATCAAATGTCCACTGAACCACACAGTGTGTCACACAGTGTGTCACACAGTGTGTTATACTGTGTGTTATACTATGTTACATTATCCACAGTACTAACTAGTATACTATCCACAGGTCCCATCGCTGGCATGCTAGTCAACAAGTTTGGGTGTCGGATAGTAACTATCATGGGTGCACTACTAGCATCACTAGCACTATTCCTCTCTATCTTCGCACCTAACGTAGAGACTCTCTATGTTACTATTGGCCTAGGTGCAGGTGAGTCATTATTATTATTATTGTTATTATTGCACAACATCTTCAACAAGAGTTGTAAACACAGGCGTCCCACAGGGTGGTGTCCTTGGTCCTCCACTTTCCCTCATATACGTCAATGATCTTCCAAATATATGACAGCATCTTAGATCTCTGTTGATGATGCAACTGTTGTCATCTCCCACCCAAATCCAGTATCCTTTAACATTGTTAATCAAGAGCTTTTAGCAATATCAACCTGGATGACTCTAATAAACTTACAGGATAGAGTAAGTAATGATTAAGTAAACATAATGAGGGAAAATTCCAAGGTCTGTACCTTGATAGCAACTTGAAATTCAACACATAACAAAAAGTGTGTCCAAAACAGTTGGCATCCTCTCAGAGATACGTTATTGTGCAATCTTGTGTCACTTGTTCACGATTCTCGCATAATATGTTATTATATACCGCTGTCCTGCTGTATGTCCAAGCCCCTAGCAGTCAAAACCTCCTTTACCTCCTTCCTCCAACCTTGCCTAGGATGGCCCCCTACCCCACATTCCTTCCACTACAGATTTATACACCCTCCAAGTCATCCTGTTCTGCTCCATTCTCTCCAAATGTCCAAAGCACCTCAACAACCCCTCCTCAGCCCTCTGTATAATATCCAACACCACCTCAGCCCTCTGTATAATACTTTTAGTAACCCAGCACCACCTCAGCTCTCTAGATAATACTCTTAGTAACCCAGCACCACCTCAGCTCTCTAGATAATACTTTTAGTAACCCAGCACCACCTCAGCTCTCTAGATAATACTTTTAGTAACCCAGCACCACCTCAGCTCTCTAGATAATACTTTTAGTAACCCAGCACCACCTCAGCTCTCTAGATAATACTTTTAGTAACCCAGCACCACCTCAGCTCTCTAGATAATACTTTTAGTAACCCAGCACCACCTCAGCTCTAGATAATACTTTTAGTAACCCAGCACCACCTCAGCTCTCTAGATAATACTTTTAGTAACCCAGCACCACCTCAGCTCTCTGGATAATACTTTTAGTAACCCACACCACCTCAGCTCTAGATAATACTTTTAGTAACCCAGCACCACCTCAGCTCTCTAGATAATACTTTTAGTAACCCAGCACCACCTCAGCTCTCTGGATAATACTTTTAGTAACCCAGCACCACCTCAGCTCTCTAGATAATACTTTTAGTAACCTAGCACCACCTCAGCTCTCTGGATAATACTTTTAGTAACCTAGCTCCACCTCAGCTCTCTGGATAATACTTTTAGTAACCTAGCACCACCTCAGCTCTCTGGATAATACTTTTAGTAACCTAGCACCACCTCAGCTCTCTGGATAATACTTTTAGTAACCCAGGACCACCTCAGCTCTCTGGATAATACTTTTAGTAACCCAGCACCACCTCAGCTCTCTGGATAATACTTTTAGTAACCCAGCACAACCTCAGCTCTCTGGATAATACTTTTAGTAACCCAGCACCACCTCAGCTCTCTGGATAATACTTTTAGTAACCCAGCACCACCTCAGCTCTCTGGATAATACTTTTAGTAACCTAGCACCACCTCAGCTCTCTGGATAATACTTTTAGTAACCCAGCACCACCTCAGCTCTAGATAATACTTTTAGTAACCCAGCACCACCTCAGCTCTCTAGATAATACTTTTAGTAACCCAGCACCACCTCAGCTCTCTGGATAATACTTTTAGTAACCTAGCACCACCTCAGCTCTCTAGATAATACTTTTAGTAACCCAGCACCACCTCAGCTCTCTGGATAATACTTTTAGTAACCCAGCACCACCTCAGCTCTCTGGATAATACTTTTAGTAACCTAGCACCACCTCAGCTCTCTAGATAATACTTTTAGTAACCCAGCACCACCTTCTAATCTCCAAGCTATAAATTCTCTGCATATTTACACCACACATTGCCCTGAGATATGACATCTCCTCGGCCTCCAGCCTCCTCCACGGCCTCCAGCCTCCTCCACTGCCTCCAGCCTCCTCTTTGTTGCAAATATTATTATATTATGATTGATAATGCTGATAATAATGATGTTAATGATGATAATACCCACAGGTCTTAGGTTTGGCTTAATCTGCCTGCCAGCCATTATCATTTTCAAATCATTATTATGAGGATGCCAATGATGATTGATGTTAATAATGGTAATTATGATAATGATAATACTTACAGGTCTTGGGTTTGGCTTGATATATCTGCCAGGGATTATCATTCTTAATCATTATTTGTAGCATATCAATGATGATTGATGTAAATAATGATAATTATGTTTAATAATAATAATACAGGTCTTGGGTTTGGCTTCATATATCTGCCAGTATCATTCTAGAGGATATCAATGATGACTGATGTTAATGATAATTGTGATTAATAATAATAATAATAATAATAATAATAATAATAATAATAATACTTACAGGTCTTGGTTTGGCTTAATATAATCTGCCAGCCATTGTCTGTGTCACTGGTTACTTTGAGAAGCGTCGTTCCTTTGCTACTGGTATCGCTGTTTGTGGCTCTGGTATGGTACCTTTGCCTTCTCACCTCTGGTGAGTACCTGGTAAGTCCCTGGTACCTAGTGCCTTGTTATTACACTCTCCGATGGTTTATATTTCACTAACATATTTTGAATGTGTTTAGTACGATTTTGGGATGTAAACAAGTCCTGGACGTGTTATTAGTACTAAACAGTGCCTGCACTCTGAAGGAGAGGTGTTAATGTTGCAGTTTAAAAACTGTAGTGTAAAGCACCCTTCTGGCAAGACAGTGATGGAGTGAATGATGGTGAAAGTTTTTCTTTTTCGGGCCACCCTGCCTTGGTGGGAATCGGCCAGTGTGATAATAAAAAAAAAAAACTTAGTACCTAGTTAAGTTCTTAGTACCTTGTTATTATACTCTCTGTTTATATTTTAGTGTGACGCATTTAGTATGATTTTGGGTGTTTAATCGAGGATGTGTTATAAGTACCTGGCACCTACTTAGTACCTAGTACCTTGTTAATACACTCTTATGGTTTATATTCCAGTGTAAATGGTTTAGAACTTGTAAAGTATGATGGCGGATGTTTAAACGAGTCTAGAACACGTTACAGCCTCTCCTCACTTAACGACGGAGTTCCATTCCCAAGACCACATTGTTAAATGAATTCGGCGCTAAGTGAGGAGCATACTATAATGGTAGTGGCTTTGTGTCATCCATCTTTGATATTGTTTTAATGTCACTTTTGCACCATTTATAACATTTCTGGTATATTACAATATACAGTAGTGCACTGTATATTGTAATAAACAGAAGAGATGAAATCAGCTCTAATATACATTATTTAGGTATACATACTGGTCAGAGAGCCCATCGTAAGTCCAAGGCGTCTGTAAATGAGTACGTCGCTAAGTGAGGAGAGGCTGTATATGCTTTCAGTTGTGGTGTGTACACTGTAGTTAGTTGTGCTGTTTGTTGTGTACCAGTACACTTGAGGATGTCCTGCTTCCAGGTACCTAATTAGTGCTACTTAAGCACCATTTGTACCAAGAACACATTGAGAATTATACCCATGCCTAGGATTATTACCATACACACCACCCATGCGCAGGATTATTACTGTACATACCACCCATGCCCAGGATTATTACTGTACATTCCACCAATGCCCGGGGTTCCTCCTGTACACCACCTGTGCCTGGGATTCCTACCGTACACTCCACCCGTGCCCGGGGTTCCTCCTGTACACCACCCGTGCCTGGGATTCCTCTCATACACACCACCCATGTCTGGGAACATTACCATGTCCAGGATTCCTCCCATACACTCCACTCATGCCTGGGATTCCTCCCATACACTCCACCCATGCCTGGGATTCCTCCCGTACACTCCACCCATGCCGGGATTTCCTCCCGTATACTCCACCCATGCCTGGGGTTCCTCCCTACACTCCACTCATGCCCAGGATTCCTCCCCATACACTCCACCTGTACCTGGGATTCCTCCCATACACTCCACTCGTGCCTGGATTCCTCCCATACACTCCACTCGTGCCTGGATTCCTCTCATACACTCCACCCTGCCTGGGATTCCTCCATACACTCCACTCATGCCCAGGATTCCTCGTATACACTCCACTCGTGCCTGGATTCCTCCCATACACTCCACTCGTGCCCAGGATTCCTCCCGTACACTCCACCTGTGCCTGGGATTCCTCTCATACACACACCACCCATGCCCGGATTATTACTGTAACACTCCACCCATGTCCAGGATTCCTCCCATACACTCCACTCGTGCCTGGGATTCCTCCCATACACTCCACCCATGCCTGGGATTCCTCCTGTACACTCCACCCATGCCTGGATTCCTCCCGTATACTCCAACCCATGCCCGGGATTCCTCCAGTACACTCCACTCATGCCCAGGATTCCTCCCATACACTCCACTCGTGCCTGGGATTCCTCCCATACACTCCACTCGTGCCTTGGATTCCTCCCATACACTCCACCCATGCCTGGGATTTTTCCCATACGCTCTACCCATGCCTGGGATTCCTCCCATACACTCCACTCATGCCCAGGATTCCTCCCATACACTCCACTCGTGCCTGGGGTTCCTCCCATACACTCCACCTGTGCCCAGGATTCCTCCCATACACTCCACTCGTGCCCAGGATTCCTCCCATACACTCCACTCGTGCCCAGGATTCCTCCCATACACTCCACCCGTGCCCAGGATTCCTCCCTAATACACTCCACTCGTGCCCAGGATTCCTCCCATACACTCCACTCGTGCCCAGGATTCCTCCCATACACTCCACCCATGCCCAGGATTCCTCCCGTACACTCCACTCATGCCCAGGATTCCTCTTGTACACTCCACTCATGCCTGAGATTCCTCCCATACACTCCACCCATGCCTGAGATTCCTCCCGTATACTCCACTCGTGCCCAGGATTCCTCCCATACACTCCACCCATGCCTGGGATTCCTCCCGTATACTCCACCCATGCTCAGGATTCCTCCCATACACTCCCACATCAGTCAGACGTGCCACCAACTTCACCAATCTCCCTCAGATCAATGAGCTGAGTTGGCAGAACTCTCTGATCATTATCTCTGGCATCATGCTCAACTGTGTGGTTTTTGGTGCAATGTTCCGACCGCTGGAGGACAACAACCTGGCAGATCACAACAATGAGTTGAACCTGCAGGAACTGCCTGCCCCTGAGGGTCTACCTCTCAACCACTTACCTAAGATCAAGGTACTGCCTTTTTACTCTTATTATTATTAATATTATTAATATTAATATTATTATTATTATTATTATTATTATTATTAATATTATTATTATTATTATATTATTATTATTATTATTATTATTATTATTATTATTACTATTATTATTTCTTTTATTACTATTATTATTGCTATTATTATTTTTACTCTTTATTATTATTAATATTATTATTATTATTATTATTATTATTATTATTATTATTATTATTATTATTAATATTATTATTATTATTTTTACTATTATTATTATTACTATATTATTACTATTATTATACTATTTATTATTATTATTGTTGTTAGTATTACTATTAATATTATTATAGTTGTTATAATCATTACAAATAATATTATATAAATAATTATATTATTATTATTATTATTATTATTATTATTATTATTACAGTAAATGCCTTGTATAAAGTATCATTCAGTGACTAGTACATTCAGTCATTATTCTGATATAACGAACACCAGTTTGTTCCTGTATCCAGTATGTAATGTAATAATATCTCCAGTAAATGAAAGAGAATTATTGAAAATTATCCAGCCTTTACTGTAAATCAAGAATTTACTATAAAGTTATGCAAATTTACTGTAAATTACCCAGAATTTACTGTAACCCAGAATTTACTGTAACCCAATTACTGTAACCCAGAGTTTACGTATCCCAGATATTACTGTAACCCATAATTTACTGTAACCCAGAATTTCCTGTAACCCATCATTAACTGTACCCCAGAATTTACTGTAACCCAGAATTTACTGTAAATTCTGGATACAGTGTTAACTGTCGATTACAGGATTTAATAACTGTCATCGTCATTCTGAAATTCGGATACTAAATCGTGTATGTTTCAGATCGCAGGAGCCAAACTAAAGAAAAACTTCAGCGATGCGAACCTGTCCGCCAGAGGTGCTACAACGTGACAGCATCCAGCGCATCAGTTCCCATGGCAAATGAGTCCCGCTCTTATACAACATGAAAGAACCACAGAACGATGCTACCAAGGATGGGCCCAGTCACACCATTGAAAGCTTTATTGGGTGATTATTCAGAAAGCCGCAATAAGACGAGTGCATAAACTGTGGCTTGGTGGCTTGAACCTATGGCAAGGTATGCTAAAATTTGCTTGTGGGTTTTAAGGATGCAGTTTACCACAGTATCGACCTCACCAGTTTCCATGGCTTGTTTGTACTAGTGGATTAATCTGTGTAATACAGTTAACAGTGTATTACAAGAGGTCACTGTATATTACAGGAGGCACTGTAATTGCAGAGTGGCCTTGTGTCTTATAGGAGGGCCCTTTGATACAGAAGTCCCTGTTTATTAAAGGAGGCCGTGGTCTTACAGGAGAGTTTTGTGTGTTTACAGGAGGCCCTGTGTATTACAGGCGGGGGGTTTTTCTTTTTGTGTCTTACGGAGGGCCAAGTGTCTTATCAGGATGCCATGTTTCTTACAGGATCTCCTGTGTCTTACAGGAGGGCCTTGTGTCTTACAGGAAGGCCCTGTGTGTTACAGAATGCTTATGTGTGTTACAGGAAGGCCCTGGTGTAATACAGAGGGTGCTGTGTCTTACAGGAGGGCCATGTGGCGTACAGAGTGCCATGTTTCTTACAGGATGCCCCTGGTGTCTTTACAGGATGCCTTTGTGACTTACAGGAAGGCCCTGTGGGTTACAGGAATGATATTGTGTTACAGGGAGGCCCTTTCGTAATCCCGCAACCTCTTTTCATTGTTCCACATTTTCCTTGGCTTTCAGCTGAGTCATTATTCATTATGTTTGATGCTTTTACCACTTTTCCATTTCTATCAAAACAGTTTTTTAAAAGTAAAAAAGGAATGGTGACCAGCACTGATATTTTAAGGTATTGTTTGCACTTCGTATTTATTTTACTGTTTTAGATCTAGCTGTATTGAGCACTTTATATATGATAGTGTAAACATAAGTTTTTCAAATGCTCTTTTTTCTACTTGTCAGCGCTTTTTGTTTATTGTATTGGGGTCGGAAAGCTAAGGAGCATACAAATGGTGCCCTCCTGTAATACATCAGGGCCCACCTGTAAGACATGGGTCCTCCTTAAATATACAGGCCCTCCTGTAATACACAGTCCTCCTGTTATGACAAGGCCTGTAATACACAGGCCCCTCCTGTAATTCACTAGGGTCCCTCCTATATGACACATGGCCTTGTAATACAACACAGGGCCGCTCCTGTAATCTACAGGGCCCACCTGAAATAACAGGGTTCCCCTGTAATACACAGGTCCTCCTGTAATGAGACACAGGGCCTTCTTGTAATACACAGGGTCCTCCTGGTAATACACAGGGTTCTCCTGTCTACACAAGCCCTCCTGCATTTGCCTCCACATAAAGACAACTCTGGTATTTACAAACCTTCAACTTTGCATGTTCTTTCTTGCAACAAACCAGCTGCATCCCTACCAAGGCAGGGTACCAAAAAGAAAACAGGAAGTTTACTCTTTTAACTTTTAGTAATGTATACAGGATAAGAGGATTACTAGACCCTTGCTGCCCCAGCATGTTAGTTCTCCTCTTATGAACGTGCAATGGCTTACGGAGAAGAATTCTTTTCCATTTCCCCATGCAGATAAGAGGAAAAGAACAAGAACTATAAGAAAAAAATAGAGAAAACCCAGAGAGTGTGTATATATATTTTTGACATGCATGTTAAGTGTGACCTAAGTGTAATAGACAGTAGCATGACGTACCCTGAAATCTTGCATGGTTTTATGAGACAGAAAGAAAGACAACACATCAATTCCTACCATCATGTAAACAGTTTCAGGCTTCCATTTTTGCATTCTCACTTAGCAGGCCATGGAGTACTTCCTGGGTGGTTTGTTGTCTTACCAACTACTATCCTACAGGATGTTAGTACCCTCCCTGGGTGGTTGTTTGTCTTATCCACCCTACAACCTACAGGATGGTAGGTACCTCCCTGGGTGGTTGTTGTCTACAACCTACTACCACAGGATTGAATACCTCCCTGGGTGTTTTTTGTCTACCAGCCTACTACCACAGGATGGTATACCATCCCTGGGTGGTTGTTGTCTAACCATCCTACTACTCACAGGATGGATAGTAACCTCCCTGGGTGGTTGTTGTCTACCAGCCTACTTACCACAATATGGTAGTAACCTCCCTATAGTGGTTGTTGTCTAACCTAGCCTACTACCAACAGAAGGTAGTACTTTACTTCCCTGGGTGGTTTGTCTAACCAGCCTACTACCACAGGATGGTAGTACTTCCCTGGGTGTTGTTGTCTACCAGCCTACTTACCACAGGATGGGTAGTAATTCCCTGGGTTGTTGTCAACCAGCCTACTACCACAGGAGTAAGTTACCTCCCTGGGTGGTTGTTGCTACCAACCTACTACCACAGGATGGTAGTACCTCCCTGGGGGGATTTGTTGTCTACCAACCTACTACCACGGAAGGTAGTACCTGCCCTGGGGTGGTAGTTCTACCAACCACTACATAACACAGATGGTAATACCTCCCTGGTGGTTGTTGTCTACCAACCTACTACCACAAGGATGGTAATACCTCCCTGGTGTTTGTTGACTACCAGCCTACTACCAAAGGATGTAAGTACCTCCCTGGTGGTTGTTTTTCTACCAGCCTACTACCACAGGATGAAAGAACCCTCCCTGTGAATGGTTGTTGTCGTACCAACCTACTACCACAGGACGGTAGTACCTCCCTGGGTGGTTGTTTGTCTAACCAACCTACTACCACAGGATGGTAGTACCTCCCTGGTGGTTGTTGTCTACCAACCTACTACCACAGGAGGTAGTACTCCCTGGGTGGTTGTTGTCTACCAACCTACTACCACAGGATGGTAGTACCTCCCTGGGTGGTTTTGTTGTCTACCACCCTACACACACAGGATGGTAGTACCTCCCTGTGTGGGTGTTTGTCTACCAACCTACAACCACAGGATGGTAGTACCTCCCATGGGTGGTTGTTGTCTACCAGCCAATTACCACAGGATGGTAGTATCCTCCCTGGGTGGTGTTGTCAACCAGCCTACTACCACAGGATGGTAGTACTCCCTGGTGGTTGTTGTCTACCAGCCTATACCACAGGATGTGTAGTTACCCCTCCCTGGGTGGTTGTTTTCTACAGCCTACCAACCACAGGATGTAATACCTCCCTGGGTGGTTGTTGTCTACCAGTTCCCTACTACCACGGATGGTAGTACCTCCCTGGTGGTGTTGTCTACCAACCTACTACCACAGGATGGTAGTTACCTCCCTGGGTGGTTGTCTACCAACCTACTACCACAGATGGTAGTACCTCCCTGGGAGGTTTGTTGTCTACCACCTACTACCACAGGATGTGTATCCCTCCCTGGGTGGTTGTTTCTACCAACCTACTACCTACAGGATGTTAAAGTACCACCCAGGGTGGTTGTTGTTACCCAAACCTAACTACTACAGGATGGTAATACCTCCCTGGGTGGTTGTTTGTCTACCAACCTACTACCACAGTAGGTATACCTCCCTGGTGTGGTTTTTGTCTACCAAATACCTTTCTACCTAGAACTTTGCATGTTATCACATTAATATTTCATCAAATGGCTGTATAAATAACACCTCCGAACTTTCCATTACTGTGCCCATGCCCGAAAAAATCACGGACAATTTGAAGTCAACTGGGAAGCGGACGATTGCAGGAAGGTAAGACCGAAGTCCCTTCCTTCGTCACATCATGGTTCTGGCCTCCAATAACGCAAGGATATATTTTTACAGGGGATCTTCTACTTAACATCCCAGAATACAAGTAAAGTTGTATTTATACATTATCATTAAGGAGGGAACTACATGGGGTCCTTGACTACTATGGGATTAATGTTGCGATGGATCCATTGCAGTTGAAAATGTAAATCAAATACGATTGAATATGCTAAATAGTAATTTAGTCACTGAATAAGTCAATAAA